CTGCATCATCCGACCTTGGCACGCTGCCCGAGTACCCTGAGGGTGGCTCGCAGTTCCCACAGGATTCGCCGTGGCATTGAGCAACGGATGTGGAGCATCCAGTCCCAGAGTACATGTTGATGGGGTGAATTGATAATGACGGGGTGGGAAGGACCATGATGGGATTGGGTTATCTGGGGGAAGGGGTGGGAAAAACGGCAAACGGCACGGGCGACGTGATGATGGAAACGGGCAGGAACGGGGTCATAGATGGCGAACGGGCGATGCACCATTAACACTGACCAAGGGCACGACACCGACGACGACGACGACGCACTGTACCAACCGTACGAGACGACGACTCTTAGGACATGCTCAGCGATGGCACGTTGCTCACTTTAACAATTTGTTGATGCCTGATTCCTGGCACATGTGTTGCCATAATGTCTCGGTCGACGCCGTCGCTGCTGGTGGGCGCGTTTGACCCTCTGCTGCCGGATCTCAGCCACAACGACTCGAACAAGAAAAACTAACAAAGCATAACACGGGTTGCCCCCCCTTATAGCATATGCGTCGTAGCAGGTTGGGACTCGCAGCAATGTTGCCCCAGGAGACCACCAGAGACCCCAAACATGCGCCCAAGATGCCTCCAACAGAAGCCTTCAGAGGCCCATGGCACGGATTGCGGATTCGTGAGACCCCCGAGAGCCTCCAGCAAAAGCCTTTAGAGGCCCATAAAAAATCCGCGAGGCCCCCGAGAGGCTTTTTTAAGGAGGAACCTCCGCTCACAATGACACAGGAGCCCGGGGGGGAAAACAAAAAAAAAAAAAAAAAAAAAAAGCCCAGAGGGAACGGCAAGACAAACGAGGAAAACGCGCGAGGGAATATAATACCGACGGCGCTCTACGATACTGCGTAAGCGATTCCCGTCGTGCACCTTAATGTGCACGACGGGAATCGGCCCTCGGCGGGACGAGGGCGCCCTCGAGTTGGAGCGGTTCACGCGCTCTTCGTGCTTCCTCCGCCTCTCCCTTCCCCTCTCATCATCCGCCCTCTGCTTCCCCTTTCCTCTCCTAAACGGTTTCCCCCTCCCCCTTCCCTCGGTGCATCTCCCTCGCATGCTCTGCAAGACTGCTCGTGTTACCAGCGACGCGTGGCCAGTCCGAAACGTTGCCGCCCTTCCATGCCCCCCCCCCCCCCCCCACACACACACCACACACACACACACACACACACACACACACACACACACACACACACGCACACGCACACGCACCGCGCCCACCACCGCCGCCGCCGCCGCCACCGCCAGTTTACAAACTGACAACCAATCGCTGCGGTGTGGAATTACCCAGTTGGGCAAATGGTGCTCGACCATGCAGTGTCATGTCGATTCGCGTGTACATGTCATGCAAGCGGGCCTCGTCGTGAGATTTGGACGCTCGTTTCTGCCAAAGACTTGTTACACGACTGCCCCCTCCTCGACGCCCCCCCCCCCCCCCCCCCCCCCCCCCACCCCCACGCCCACGCGCGCGCGCACGCGCGCGCACACCACACACACACACACACACGCACACGCACACGCACACACACGCGCGCGCACGCGCGCACGCACGCACGCACACACACACACACACACACATACACACACACACACATACACACACACACACGCACACACACACACACACACACACACACGCACCCCCCCCCACCCCACGCACCCCACCCCACACACACCCGAAAGGAACATAAGGAGAGGAATAAGAGGAAGAATAAGAAGAAGCATGGAGAGAAAACAAAAAACTCAGCAAACGTGTGCCAGCGCTGCTCCTCCCTCGATTCGTTTTCCAAATAAACGCGCGAATGTTCCGTATGGTCCCCATCCCGCTCCGCATGATCAATATTCCCCTCCTCACTATACTCCTCTGCCCGTTCTCCCTCATCCGCTTCATCTGCCCCTCTCGGGCGCCCAGTTTCTGCCGCTGCCATCCTGCCACCTTGGCGCCCCAAGAAATGCTAACGCTGACGCACATGCTCGAAATCTTAAGCGCCATTGTGCGAATACGATGATGAAACACATGTCGGATCTATTTTGCAACGCCCGATCTGTTTTCGCGATGCGGGCATAATTCTCTACAACCCATGAAATAGACCTGAATGCGTAAAATAATGATGAATGGTGAAAACGTGTCAAAATAAATCCTTACCACCAAAAACACCGGTTCTGAAAAACAGATCTTGCGGACCACTGGGTAGGCCAGGCGATCCGAGGCCGAGGCGGCGAGGATCAGGATATCACCGTCATGCACGTCAACAGCCACATTGACTGGGAGGAAGCGAGAGCGAAGCGCATGCCACGGGCAGTTTGGGCTGGGAGCAAAGCAGCGGACGACGTGGCGGACAAAGGAGCAGCGCTGCGCGCAATACCGAGCGCGACCATGTCCAACTACGAGTGGATAAGAGCGACGGCATGTCTGGTGCGCAAAAGAATCCTGACCGCGACGAAGGAAGCAATCGATCGACGACTGCCATAAGAGAAGGAAGCCGAAAGAGAAAAGCAAAAGGCGAAGCAAAAATAAAGAAACGGGCGGACGCGCAATATCGAGATCCTGGCGCAAAAAGAACCACCACGTACCACGCGCGCGCTGCAGAAGCTCGCAAACGGCAAAGGATGGAGGTGCACGCACTGCGCGCAGAGGATCAGCATGAGCACGGGGGTCGAGCACATACGAGAATGGCTAGCAGAAGGTTGTCAAGGTCCTCCTGCTCCCGAAGAATCACAGATAACCATCGGCGGAGTCGCCCCTCGCGAGACGCGCCCGCTGAGCTGGCGCCAGAAAGAAAGAAGGTATGTGCGCAGGCTGCGCGGTGGCACGGCGGCAGAATATGCGCCGGCAGAGATGCGAAACATATGGTTACGACGGCCTGGATGCAGCTGGGTCAAGTACAAGCTGAAGGACTGGCTAGACGGCGCACGCGACGAACAGCACAGCCGATCAGAACAACGCGACACGAGCGATCACAAAGAAAAAGCGGCAAGGACTGGAAGTGCGGCGAAGAGGACGGAAGAGGAAACAGCAAGCGCAGACAGCACGACGACAAGGACGCAGGTCACGGCGCAAGCTGAGGAGCCCGAGCCCCTTGACGCGGGGGACCTGAGAAGCAGCGAAGACAAAAGTGGCAGCCCCAAAGCAGCAGCACAAGCAGAAGCAGGACAGAAAGCGGCAAGGACTGGTAGCACGGCGAAAAGGACGGGAGCAGAACAAAGGGCAGGCACACCAACTACGACACGCACGAATAACATAATACAAATAATTGAAAAGGGAACCCTTGACGCAGGGGCGAAGGAGAGCGAACCCCGCGACGCAGGGATGAAAGGAAAGCAAAGAGACACAAATGCGGCAAGGACTTGCAGCGCGACGAAAAGGACGGAAGCACCCAGCAGAGAGGCACCACCAAGCACGGCGGCAAGCAGCACTGAAGGGCACCAAAGAAGAACGGCCAGACCGAGCGAGACCGAGGCAACGAAAGGTGAGCCCCTTGACGCAGGGGAAAAGATGGTGCCCCTTGAAGTAGGGGAAAGAAAAGCAACGAGACGAAGAGTGAGGCCAAAAGAAGAAGATCCGCTAAAGCTGAGAGAACGTGAGCTTGACCCTGAAGTGCAAGCAGAAAGAGAAAATATGGCCCCGCTCTTCCAGATGCTGGAAGAAGCCAAAGACAGAAAGCACAATAAACTGAGACAGGAAAGAAACGATGAAGAAAGCGATGAGGAAAGAAGAGCCGCGAATATCCAGCACGAAGACGCTGAGCGAAAGAACCAAAGAAAGCCCATCGACAACTCAAGTACAAGCTGAAGGACTGGCTAGACAACGTACGCAACGAACAGCACAGCCGACCAGAACAACGCGACACGAGCGAGCACAAAAAAGCGGCAAGGACTGGAAGTGCGGCGAAAAGGACGGAAGAGGAAACAGCAAGTACAGACAGCACGACGAAAAGGGCGCAAGTCACGGCGCACGCTGAGGAGCCCGAGCCCCTTGACGCAGGGGACCCGAGAATCAGCGAAGACAAAAGTGGCAGCCCCAAAGCAGAAGCACAAGCATAATCAGGAAAGAGAGCGGCAAGGACTGGTAGTGCGGCGAAGAGGACGGGAGGATAACAAAGAGCAGGTACACCAAGTACGACGCGCACGCAGAAGAACATACGACAAATAATTGAAAAGGAACCCTTTGACGCAGGGGCGAAGGAGAGTGAACCCCGCGACGCAGGGGTAAAAGGAAAGCAGAGAAACACCAAAGCGGCAAGGACTTGCAGCACGACGAAAGGGACGGAAACACCCAGCAAAGAGGCACCACCAAGCACGGCGGCAAGCAGCACTGAAGGGCACCAAAGAAGAACGGCCAGACAGAGCGAGACCGCGGCAACGAAAGCTGAGCCCCTTGACGCGGGGGAAAAGATGATGCCCCTTGACATAGGGGAAAGAAAAGCAACGAGACGAAGAGTGTTGCCAAAAGAAGAAGATCCGCTAAAGCTGAGAGAACGTGAACTTGACCCTGAAGAGCAAGCAGAAAGAGAAAATTTGGCCCCGCTCTTCCAGATGCTGAAAGAAGCTAAATAAAGAAAACAACAGAAACTGAGACATGAAAGAAAATATGAAGACTGCGACATGAAAGAAGAGCCGCAAATATTCAGTATGAAGACGCTGAGCGAGAAGAACCAAAGAAAACCCACCGACAACTCGGAAAACCAGGACCACAAGTACTTCCTGGCCTCTGAGGTGGCGGCGGCCCCAGACCCGCCCCAACCTGACCACGTGAGGAATGAAACTGCTGGAAAAAACTCCTCCTCCTCCTCCTCTTCCTCCTCCTCCCCCTCCTCCGCTTCCTCCGATCCAGTTCGGCTGCTTTTCCCCCTCCTCCTCCTCCTCCTCCTCTTCCTTTTCCTCGTCCTCCTCCTTCTCCTCCTCCTCCTTCCTCCTCCTCCTCATGTTCCGCCTCCCCGTCCTGCAAGTCCCACAGGAGGTTTTGCTCTTGGGGCCAGAGGTCCTCGACTGGGCGCTCCGCGCAGGCGGGCTGGACGAGCTCGTGGAGTTCGCCCTACAGGACCTCTCCCCTCAGGGCCCGGGAAAGCAGAGAAGGACAGGCGCCAGGATGACGATCAGCAGGAAGTAGAGGAGAGACAAGAGGAAAGGGGGGACAGGAGGATGAGGAGGTTGGAGGAGGAGGGTGAAAGATGACGCGGACGAGGAAGTGAAAGAAGACGAGTAATTAGCACGAGCGCGAGGAGGACAACACCGACTCTAAGGACGACGGCGATGAGGATGACAAGTAAAACGAGGAGGAGGAGGAGGAGGAGGAGGAGGAAGAGGAGGAGGAGGAGGAGGGGGAGGAGGAGGCGGAGGAGGAGGAGGAGAACGAGGAGATCGAGGAGCAGTAGGAGGGGGAGAAGAAAGAGGACGAGAGACGGACGGAGGGATTGGGAAGGGAGGCAGTGGAGGGGAGGGAGAGGGGAGGATACTTAGGATAAGTAGGCGGGGCATGGGAGAGGTGGGGGAGGGGAGGGAAGCCAAAGGGGGGGCAAGCGGCGGCCGCCCGCCGCGCCCGCGGAGGAAGACAGCGAGGACAGCTGCCCTGCTCTAGACGCGGCCCTCGAGCGCGCGCGGGAGTGGCGCCTCGGGGCGGCTGGAACCCGCCTCCGACGAAGACGTCCACGACTACGGCGCTCACCACCACCACATGCTCGAGGAAGCAAGCAGGAGGATGGCGCACTGATTAGTGACGGATTCTGCTTCCACGCGTAATCGGCGCGCTCCGTCGCCAAATCGGGCGGCATCGGCGCCGTGTTCGGGGGGCACGGTCCCCGATCCGTGGATCTGGCGCCCACACGCCATGTCTACGGATCCGTAATCCTACTTAGTGCGTGCCCGAACCACCACGACGGCTCCCCTTCTGCCCGTCGTTCCGATCTTGGGATGGTTCTTTCGACGGCTCACTGGGAACTCTGCGTGTCGAGACCCCCCGCAACCAGACAGCCACGCCCCCGAAGTCTGCGGGCTGAACGTCTGATCTCTTCATAGTGGTGTTCTCCCGTCTGTGTGCTTCAGACTGTAGGGCACGGCGTGAGGTCTGGAAGGGGCATAGGTAAGACTTTGCAATGAGCATCAACTACTGGGCACTTTGGCAACTGACGGGTGCCAAAAGGCCGCTCCATAGAGCGCCCCGGAGGTGGTCTCCGGCCGCTCTGGGGGGCGGCCTCGCCTCGGCGCTTCTGCCACCGTGCTGCAGGCCCCCCCTCCTCCTCCTCCTCTTCCTCCTCCTCCTCCTCCTCCTCCTCCTCCTCCTCCTCCTCAAGAAGACAGAGCTCGTCTGCCTTTGGTTTCGGGCGGGCGGGGAGAGGGGCGGTGTCCCGCAGTCCGCCCACAAGTGGCGACCGTAGCGACCACGCAATCTGGTGGATGTTAAGCTCACGCTGTGCATGGCAACCGATTTGGCAACCGCGCTGCACGATGCCCCCTTCCCGTATCAGACCTTGCTTCACGTGTTTAGTTCTTTTGCGGCGGCGCGATTTGCTTTACGGGGCTGGCTTATGCGCGAGAAGTTGCGGTGGAAATTTCGTTTCGGGGGGGAACATCGCGGCACCGTTCTGGCATCATCAGATGGTGAAGGCCTCATTCCAGGCTCGAGCCAATATAAATCAGTCAACGCGCAATCTCCTGCACCGTTCCCGAAACAGTAGCGTCATTCGCCTGCATCTGAGACAGGATGTTTGAAACCTCGCGCGTTGCACCAGAGGCGCTGGTTGCAGCTATGCGCACTGCGTAGACGAAGTCGTCTGATTTATACCAAAAACCTGCAGTGCCGCTGTCGCCGTTCTATGGGGCGCTGCGCGCCGCAATGCGTCCTGCGCAGCATGACGTAGTTCTCGACCTCGGGGCGAGCTCAGATTTCCGCCAGACTTCACGGCTGTTGCACAAGACAACTCTCTTGACCATGTACAATTGCCTGGTGAAATGGGCCGCGATTTGAGCCACAGCTACCATTCCTTTGTTACTATTCCAATCGCGGAGCATCGGGCTGAGAGTTTGCTGGAGGTTTCATGGCAGCATGTGGCCACACGCCGAGCAGGGCGAAACCAGAAGAAGATGTCGCTGACGCTGTCAAAGATAATTGTTACTGAGCCTGTTTGGTTATTCGTGGTTCAAGCGGCTAGTGGTTCGATTTTGATGGAGCTTACCGATATTGGCAACCTCGGCACCTTTGTGGTAAAAGTTGGGCCATGTGCCCCGCGCGAGCTTTCGAAATGGCATGATGGTGCCGATGGTGTCTGGATGTTGGGCTAGGCAAGCGATTGCGGTGTGCAGCAGCATGTGGTTTCCGATTCGATGTCAGCGGGCACATTTACCAGCAGGCGCGATGGCACCAACGTCATTGACGTGCCTTGGCGCTCTCCTTTTGGCCGCGCGGCTGGAATATTGCTAAGGCCTTACGGCCAGTGCCGCCGACCCTGGAGGCCTCGGCCCTCGACGGAAATGGGAGGGAGGGGGCGGGCCATGGGCGAGTTGGTGGGGCAGCGGGAGGATAGGGGCGACCCCAGCGCAAGCGTTCAAGGGTGAGTCCTCTTTGAGGCAGTGTCGACGCCTCTGGGGAAGCGTTTTGGGACCGTTTGGGGGCGTGTTGGGGCGTCGTGGGCCGCTGCTGAAAGCAAGGAGGCGAACATGCGTTTGCCGAAAGGAATGGAACAGTTGTTGCCTCTGGGTGGCATCTTCAGAGGCGTCTTTGGACGTCATGAGAGCGTCTGTGGCCGTCGTGAAGGAGTCGTCATCTCTTATGAAGCGCTCCTGGGCCGGTTTAGTCGATTTCGCTATGGTTTGAGCGCGACGTTGGAGCCTTGTGGAGGACTCTCGGCCCATGAAGGGTTTTCGTTTGGCGCTCCCGACCCGCCCCGGGAGAGTGGTATTCTGACCCTGGCCCCCCCTCTGGGACCCCCCCCTAGGACCACCCTCCGCGACGCCCCCCCCACCCCCCGCCCCCCTCCGCGGGGAAGGGATCAAATGGAAAGGGTTCCCTTCGCCTCAGTGATAACGTTGCTTCATTTCGCTGTGGAGGACTTTCGGCCCGTCTGGGGTTTTTGTTTGGCGCTCCCGACCCGCACCGGGAGAGTGGTATTCTGACCCTGGCCCCCCCTCTGGGACCCCCCCCTAGGACCACCCTCCGCGACGCCCCCCCCACCCCCCGCCCCCCTCCGCGGGGAAGGGATCAAACGGAAAGGGTTCCCTTCGCCTCAGTGATAACGTTGCTTCATTTCGCTGTGGAGGACTTTCGGCCCGTCTGGGGTTTTTGTTTGGCGCTCCCGACCCGCCCCGGGAGGGTGGTATTCTGACTCGAGACCCTCCCCCGCCCAGACCCCCCCCGGGACCACGCCCGGGACCCCCCCCCCTCCCCCCCCTTCGTGTTGAAGGGATCAAAGGGAAAGGGGTTCCTTTCGACTCTATGACAACGTTGAATCATTTCGCTGTGGGTAGGCTGGTGTATTTCGCTTTGGCTGGCGTGCTTGAGAACGAGGGCCAAAGGAAAGGGAGGTATCGGCGACGGAGGAAGGGTAAGGAGAGACGTAATGGTGGCGGCGACGCGACGGCGGCAGCGACGGCGATGGCGACGGAACAGCCCCTGTCACGCGCCGACAGGGCCGGCGGATTTCACAACGATGCAGCCGTGGCGGGAAAAAATCGTCGGGGATCTGGGCTTTTTCACACGAGCCACTGATATACGACGTTGCGAAAACAATGCAACATTGCGTCATATTACGACCGGAACCCTAGACCCCATTCGTCTGCTACATTTTCCGAACCAGATCGAGAAAGAGAGAGAGGAGAGAGAGAGAGAGAGGAAATAGAGCAGTGTGAAACAATCTCAACGCCCGAATCTCATGGTCGGAAATCTTTGCTTTTTCACGCCAATGCTTCACGGCGCCTGCGCCCCCGCCGCGGAGCCTCTGCGGGGGCGGCGGCGAAGCCGCCATGTTTTACCCTTCTCCCTTCCCACCCTTTACCCCCCCCCCTCTCGTCCTCGTCGTTGTCGTCGGTCGTTTTCTCACCTTGCAGCTGGGCTCCTTCGCGATCGTACGGTGGGGGCGCTGGTTAAGGAAAGTGCCCAGGAACCCTCAGACCCTGAAGGATTCCTTGTCTGATGAGGGTGGCGTTGATGTCCACGGCCAGACCTGAAGTGGTGCTCCACCAGGTTCCCCTCAGATCCGACGTTGCCAGAAAAACAGCATTGTTAAAAAATCATGACCGAAGCCCCGGACCTCCTGTTTCTGCATCATTTTTAAGCCGCATCGAACTCTGAGGCTTCCCGGGGCCGGGAATTGAGCGAGAACGCCCGCAGTGAAGAAGTTGCAACGCCCAGATCTCAAGGTTTTCACAGACCTAAGGCTCCTTATCCGATGGCTCCGTCGCCAATTGCCCTCGCCGTAAAGAGCACAACCGCCCCCCGCGGCCCGACGCCGCCGGCCGAGGTACGAGCCGAGCGGCCTCTGGGGCGCCCCGCGCGAGGGCCCGCCCAGCGGGCCGGCGGCGCGGGAGCTCGTGCTCGGCACCGACGGCGCCCCTGGGGGCGGTGGCGGCGCTGGGCCGGCGGAGCCGCCCGCGGGCAGGTCGGCGACCACGAACCCTGAGGCCTGGGCGTTGCAGCTTGTTCTTTGCGGGCGTTCTCGCCCAGTTTCGGGCTCAGGGGCCCACACAGATCGATCCGGCTGGAAACATGGCGCAAGAAGATGGGATCCGGGGCTTCCGTGGTGATTTCTCGCACTTTGCCGCTTTTGTTTGCCACGTCGGATCTCAGGGCAGGGTGTGGTTACGCTTGGGTGCGCTTTGTGATCGGCGCCGTTGGGGCTTAGGGGTCACCACGTTGCGTCAACGGCTCGATGGGCCCTCGTCGAGATGCGGCAAACATCTCTGGCGAGGTCCTCGCCCGCTCCGCCCCAGGCGCGGGTTGCAAACCACACCCTTTGCAAACCACACCCTTCGGAGTCGTCGAGGGGGGGTCCCATACCCTGAGATCTGGGCGTCGCATGTGTTTCACACCGGACGCTTTTGCCCAGTGTCAGGCCCCAGGGCCATCACAGAGCGATGTGGCTCGAAACATGCTCCGGTCGTGATTTTTCGCGATGTTGCAGTTTCGTTGCAATGGTGGGCCAATTTTCCACCAGCGCTACCATGGGTAGGAAGGGGGGGAAGGGAGGATGGGGAGGTCCTCCTCCTCCTCCTCCTCTTCCTCCTCCTCTTCCTCCTCCTCGTCCCTCTCCTCATTCTCCTCAAGCCACTAGCGGCACGAGGGCCTCATTGGGAGCAGGTCCCCGCTCGCACGGCACTCGCGCGTACCGAGCGTGGGCAGACCCAGCGGTTTGCTACGTGTTCCCGTGGCTTGAGGGTCGCCCTTTCAGGCGGCGAAAATCGAGTGTCCGACAGTCCGAGTGAATGGGTCGGAGCGGCAGTGCACGAGCCACGAGTCGTGATGGATCGAGGCAGCCACCGACCCTCGGCAAGCGTCGTCAAGTGTATTTTGTCTGCCGCAGCTGTCCTGGTTCTTGGGTGTATTGCGCCAGGGCAGGCTCCCCAAGCTGGGAGGCATGTCGGACCTGTGGAGTACCATGGCTCAAGCAGCAGGCTGGCCGCAAGGAGGTCACTTTCGCCCTGCAGGACGGCCAGCACAGCCCCAGCATCGCCACCGACCAGCTCGTGGCGCAACTCCTGCACAAGTACAAGGCCGCCAGGGCCGACAAGGACGAGGCGGCAGTCAAGGCGCTGGAGATAGTCTGCCCTGCCCTCGCTGAGGCAGATCGGCCACCTCACGAGGAAACTCCTGGAGTTCTTTTGGAGAAGCAAGCGGCCACCCTGCGAAGGATGCACACCTAACAGGAGAGGCTCAAAATGCAGCTGGTGGACAACGCGAAGCATGGGAAGGAGCTCCTGGTCAAGTTGGAGGAGAATGTCCGAGCCTGCGCGGAGGTCCAGGCGGAAGTCAACCGCCTCACCTGCCTCACCACCGCGTCCATGGGCGTGGGCTTCACCAAGCCAAAGGAGGACAAACAGGACGTGCCCTTCCAGTTCCCCGAACTGGCGGCAGAGGACATTGAGTTCCTCACACCAGAACAGAAGCAGGCATATGAGAGCGCGCTCGGTCATGCGAAGCAGGCGCAGCTGGTGTACAATAGTGCGGCGGACATCGGCCAGCAGGCGCAGGAGGCCGCCAAGACACTCCGCGAGCTCCGCGAGAAGGCCACGTCGGCTAAGAGGCGCAAGGCTGATGGGGCAGTTGGAGTCGTAGCAGCAGCACCAGCAGCACCAGAGGCCGCTGACGGGCAGCCGCAGCAGCAGCAAGGAGCAAGCGGCCTGGATTTCCCCGGCCCGAAGAATGTGGACGAGCACGCCCAGAAGACCGCGGCCATCGAGGCGCGCGCAGCGGCAGCGGACGCAGTCAAGGCCTCCAAGCCTGCTGCACCCGCCGCTGGTGCGCCAGTGGGCGCGTCGGGCGGGTAGCTGCGCGCGCCCCTGCCCAGCAGCTGCAGCAGTGCAGCCAGTGCCTCATGCAGGACGGGCTCCTTTTGGCAAGCGTCGCTATGTCTCGGTCTTCTTCGGGAGCATGACGCACTGCGGCTCCAAGGTCAAGAAGTACGTAGAGAACGCGCCGTTCGACCTCATGGGATTGGCGGGGCATCACTTAGGGGAAGCGAATGCCAGAGAGAAGAACGGCGCCTTCGAGATGTTGGTTGGAGGTCGGAAGGCAGTTGGACGGCAGCTGCGGCATCTGGGCGATCGGCGACAGGCACTCACAAGGCGGGGCGCCCCACACGAGCGAGGCGCTGGCCAAGCACTACGCGGCGCGGACTACGGAGGCGCAACTGGCGGACCTGTGTAACGTAGAGCCCCGACAAGGAGCTAGACGTGGCATGACCCTGATGTACCGATGGCGCATGGCGGTGCGACAAGCTCCAGACATCAACTTCGGCAACGTCAGCGCCGACCGTGTCAACAACAAGTGACAGAGCTTGCATATGCGCGCGCAGGAACAACTCATCGCACTTGGAAGGCTCGGACACGCACGATAGCAACGGCACGCCCAATCCATCGCGAAGAACCTCATCGGATACCTATGCCAGCACCGCGAAGGAGAAGGGCCAACATCTGCAGGTCATTAGCACAACCGCAGTGGCAAGCGGAGAGTCTACCGCGACGGCGCCAGTGTGCTTCGCCAAGGGGCGCTCCTCCGACACAGTGCGGACTACGGCCGATGGCAGAATATCGCGCTACGGGTTCAAGTGCGAGCCCTGCGACATGCCAGCCTGGCATGGCAACGGACGAGGAGATCGGTAAGTGGGCGAAGCTGAACGCGCGGGGCCCCATGAAAGGTGCCCACCGCTACCTGGAGAAGAACGAGTTCAGGGCGCTGGGCGAGACCTGCGTGGACCCCGAGACGTTGGAGGTGAGCGACGCGGCCCAGGGCACCACCCAGATCAGGGCGGCCTGCTGGATGGAGGGGGGGGCGCCCCATTCCCACCGAATACCAGCCATCCGAGCGGCCCTCGGTAAGCTTCGGGCTCGCGCCTGCGAGGGGCTGGCGGCGCGGCCGCATCGCGACAGAGAGGGGATCGTAGCAGCGTCGAAGACATTCCCGAAGAGCTCGACCAGTGGGAGCCGCACCGCATCCTCGCGCTCTCCGGGCAGGGACAATACTACTTCGTGGCGATCCTGAACATGGCGGCGAGGGGCCTCGCCTGGCCGCGCCAGCTGCTACACACTTGGTTCGCGCTCCTCCCGAAGGGCGACAAGCAGGTGGACGGCAACGAGCGGGGCATCGGCCTCCTGCCCATGGCCATCCACATACGGGGCCACATGACCAAGACCCACGCGCACACCCACACCGAGTGGTGCGACAAGAAGGCAGCGCATTGGGACGCCGCCATCAGAGGCAGCAGCACCCTGCAGGCAGCACCCAAGACTGCGGTGCTGGATGAGACTATGGCGCGCGTCGGTTAGCACGAGCAGAGCAAGTGCCTGGTCGATGTCGAAAAGTTCGACGACTATATGGACCTCTCGCCCATGGCACGCCAGGTGATCGACCTTGACTTCCTTGCAGTCGAGTTCTACCTGTGCTGCCTCGCCAACTTGGCACCGCGCGCCATTCGCGCGCAGGGTGCATGTGCCGAGGCCATCATCCCCACATGCTCCATAGTACCAGGCTGTGACAAGGCCAAGCATTGTGCGGGGGCTTTCCTGCCCCGGCTTCTTGAGCGTGCCCATGAACAGGCGCCCCTTGCAAGCATCCGTCAATATGTGGATGCTGTGCGCGCGAGAGTAGAGGGCCCCGCGTCCACGGCGCTAGAGCAGACCAAGGGCGCGCGCGTTGGCCTGGCGCAGGGCATGCTGGACCTGGGGCTCCGAGTTTCGCCGGAGTCGATACTCATGCTGTCTAACCCTTCAGACGAGAAGGCAGCACATAAGCACGCATCCAAGCTTACACGCATCAAGACCAAGCGAGCGAAGTGGGCCAAGGACCTGGGTCGACTGCACCGTGGGCCAGCAACGCGCGCGCAAGGCCACGAAGGGCCGCGTGCCCATCGCCCGAGCGAGAGCGACCCGCACCTCTCTGTTCCGACGCGCGGGGCGTGGAGACAAACGTACCAACGGGATTATGCTACACAGCGCGAACATCAGGGTCAAGTGCATGTGCGCGGACCCCGTGACAGGCTTGGCACCCGCTGGCATAAAGATGGAGGGGCGCGGGCAGCGGACCTTGCGGAGCGCGTCGCAGGGGGGCGCTGCACCGCTACCACCATGCCATTCCATTGCCAGGGCGACGGGCCCAAGATGATCGTGACCATGGGTCGGGTCAACAATTGGATCCAGTTTTGGGCGGCGAGTCTCACCATGAGAGAACGGGTGCGACGTGGATGGTAGGCGGTGCTCAAGAAACTGATCTACGCGAGACCGAGGGTCAGGTGGAAGTGCGTCACTGTGCCCATGCGCGCGCTGATCTTGGCCCTCCGCGAGCTGGGCTGGATCCCAATGGCGCCAGACATCTGGATCGATGACCAGGGCGACGAGTGGCAGCGCCAAGAGGGGGCCAAGACTCCCAGGCGCTCCGAGCATCGGTGCAGCGGGAATTTTGGAGAGCGGCGTCGGAACATCCTGGAGGCCGCGGGCTGGAGGGAGGCGGGGATCTCCACGTGCTTCGGGGCAACCTGGGGCGCCTCCGACGCCAAGATCACCATCGAGAGGCTGGGGCACTGGAGGCCAATGCGCTGGCCAGCATATGGCCGAAAACTCGCACCAAGGCGGCAGGCTACTCGTGCGATGGCGAATGCCCGAGATGTGCAGGGGGACGAGACACCATCGGCCGCCGCCCGCGCAAGGGCGCGGCGACCCGCCATCTGGCGCGCGAGTGGGCGAGCAGGACGGGTGGTCTCTGTGAGGTTGCACAAAATGATTTGCGCGAGGGCAAGAGCGTGAGTTTTCAGACCAGAGGAATTGCCCCCCCCGCCATGGAACCCGGCGCCCAAGCCCCCCGAGTGGAACTCAGGAGAAGGCCCAGCTGTTTGGGCTCTTGGGGTTCCTCCTCCTGGACCCCCCCCCCTCCT